GTAGCTGTGCCCAAATCGTATATCCATTAAATTCGATATAAACACCTCTGTATAAGTTATTTAAAACAATGACATTACTTTCCACAAAATTTATCATGTGAAACAATAAACACCAGCCAAATATATCGTTGTAGATAATTACACTTTCCTTTAAAATATCAAGGTTAATAAATATCTTTTTTAAAGACTTTTTGGGTGTATAGTGTTTACTTTGCAATAAAAAAGTTTGCTGTTGATATTTCTCTAACAGCATCTTGGCAATAACATAAGCAAACATCAAATAAAAAAGTAGTGTATAAATCTGGAACACCTCGGCAAAGTACACATCTAATATGCTAGTACCAAAATAAACGAAAATCGAAGAACTATACAAAGCAATGGCAATACAAAATGCTAAAGCTGTTAATGCAATGACTAACAAATAGTGTCTGCAATTTGTATCCGATGGTTCCACATTATTTAGACTTTGCATCAAGTTAAACCACTTCTTCCTTTTATGTACCGTTACAATGATTAAAACATAGAAGTTATAACTGTACAAGTTAATTTCTCTAACAAAGTGTAGAAAAACTTCTATGAAAGGAAAGCTACTTAGATCCATTAAATCGTTGCAGGCAGAGCTCATAAATGCCGTCGTGTACAAAACCCAAACAAAAATCTGTATCATTATTTCTGATATTGTGCAATTTCGGTTTTCTAATCCTGCCGGGCTTATTTTGACAATATTTCCCAGCTTGAGCAGAATGCTGATATGTTTCATGTTGGCGGTTTTTGAATGAATTTTTTTAATACAAATTGTCAATCAATACGTGCAGACCAATAAACAATAGTAGATTATATTATTAAGAGTATAAGTAAAGCTTTAAGTGCTCAGCATGGACTCACTGACGAACGTAATAAGTCAGACAAGTCCGTGCGAAGCACATAAAGTACTTATACTCTGAATAATATATGCTATTTTTTCTTCAAACTTACAAGATTATATCAAAAACAACGTAACAATAATTTAGACATACATTATAATTTTTTTTCCGAAAATCGTGATAGCGATTTACAAAAACATGTTTGGATATTGTTACGGAAACTTATCAAACAAAAAAAAAGTCACAATTTTTTACACAATGTCTGAATTTATAGAAACTCCACCTGAAATAGTTGAAATAGCAAAAGCTGCAATTGAAAAACTTCTTCCGACAAAATCCAGTGTTGTTTATGAAGCAGCTTTCAAGAAATTTACTACTTACCAAAAAAACGCAGTCGTTTACACGGAAAGTGTCCTTCTGGCGTATTTTCCGGAGATGGCCAAAAGCATGAAGAGTTCCAGTTTGTGGTCTCATTACTCGATGGTTAAATCATGAGAAGAACTTCGGCGACTTTACTTGTCGACACCGGCGCATATACAGGGTGACTGCGAAATATATGCAAATATTTTAACCACGGCATCCCCCACCCTAGTAGAGCCGAAATATAGAAAAAATAAATTAAAAATCGAATGGGGCGAAACCCCCATGAACCACCCTCGATAGGAAGGCACTGAGCCACCTTGTAAACAGAGTTGGAAAAACGTTCGAATAAAAACGACCTAAACACTTTCAGTTTCAATTAAAAGTAAAACCGACTTTTTGCTGCTTATCATTAGTTCATTCATTTACTCATTCATCGTTAAAGGCCAGTGTGAAAGTTTTTTTGGTAATTTTGATTCTGACGGATGTTTGGTCCTTGTCACAACGATTTTACATTGTTTATTGGAACAGAAATAAGAGCAACTTAGAATGCTACTACCTTTTTACAAGAAATGTTGAAAATGTTGTCCTTGACTAGCAATACAAGCGTCAGAGCGTCGCAAGAGGTTTGTTGATAGGTTAAAAAACACCGGAGTAGCGGCTGCCACTTTCACTTATTGAAGCTCTTCGATAATTTTTGGACACTGTTGATTTCCACAAACGAATTGTTTCATCCAACCAATACACGTTTCTCGAAAACCGTCTCTTGAAATCGTACTTGTTGGCGACTATGTGGAGTTCCATCGGACAAAAAGTGAGTTACACAACGTGGACAATCAGCGGGCTCCAAACCGTGCACTTTGTCAACATGGTATGGTTGTGACCGTGTACTTTTAATGTAGGATGCACTACAAGCTGCGAAAATCCAATTTCTTCTTTGTGTCCCATCACGACCACGATCGTGAGTTTGAGGTTGAAAGTACCATGATCTCGGAGATGCTGTACGACTGATGCAAATGTTCGCGCACACAAATTACTATATCGACACACTCTGCATTGGAAAACTGGATCATACACCGATTTCAACGACCGCTCGATAATGACTGGCCCTTTTCGTGTTTTTCACGTTGCGATTAAAAAAGTGCCTCATAAAGTTACTTTTTGGTTCTTACTCCGAGTCCCCTGCCCATTCATTGCAGTAATTATGTAGGTCACGAAACATTACCAGCGGCGCGTATAACAATTTACATTTAATTTCAAATAATTTTTTCTAGACACTGCTACCACTTAGGACCGTGAATTTTTGCGAGTGACATAATCCTATTGTGAGCTATTCCCGATTTTTTTTTTTTGCATGTATTTCGCAGTCAGCATGTAAACTATTAATACATAAAGATATAATTACTACTTCGACTAAATAGTCTTGAAAACAAAAGTGACAAGCTGTTGCGTACGGGTTCTAAATTAGTATCGCCATCATCATAAAGTTGTTTTGACAGAATTAAGTTCCCAAGAATTGTTCCTACAGCGTGTTTTTGATAAAAAGTGTATTTAAAATTTTCGTTAAAAATAGCGAGAATTTCACCATCATTGTTTCCTAAGCTTTTAGAAGAAGTTACGATTTCCACTGAAACATATGGTGCTGGAAAACTGATATTTCTTCAGTCTAGTATTATTATGTTTCATATCCAGTTTTGGTCAGAGTTCACAAAAAATGTGAAAAAAATTAGCTTCGTCTATATCCATATTTTCAGGATTCTCCTGCTACCAACTAAACTTATTTTAGCAAATATTTATTCCATATCCAGCTTTTTGGTGGATCTTTTGAACTTTTCGAGACACGAAAATTGTAATGTTGACTATACGTCGTGGTATGATTGTTGTTTTTTATCCTAGCTAACACTTGGCAATATGAAATTGAACAATGGGTATTGACGAAAGGATTGCAGAACATTTTTGAAATTAAAAAGAAAGCGAACATTTGAACAAAATGGTTACAATTTTCAACATTTACTGTGATGTAGAATCGTAATAAATTTGTCAATTTTTTTTGTAATGAATTAATTTTATTTTTTTATAAGATATGAGGCATTTATGCAACCAGTTTTACAGATGTGTGTGGTATTTGTTGTACTTTCTTGGGCTTTTAGAAAAATTCAAAACTGAGAGACAGCACAAACTCATGCCCTACTTCGATCCTATAATTATTTATAGTTACAAATTTACAAGTTATTACGGATGTGTGGCGACAAATTTAAATTATGATAGTCAACAAGAGAGCAAAATTGGAATAGAAACTATAGTGTACGACAGAGGAAATCTGAGTTTACGGTTAGACTGGACTCAAACATTTAAGGCGTTTATGGCTTTGACGTTTAAAGTACTTTACAGCCGACCTTTCATAAAACTTAGTAAATGTAAACCATGCCACGTGCCAGGGACGACCGAGATGCGAAGGACCGGACTAAGAGTAATTTTGTTTTTAACGTTTGTTCCTTACCTTAATTATTTAATCATTATTCTGCACATTTGAAAACATTATTAAGATACTGAAAGCAAAAAACATAAAATCTTGAATAAGTACGATCGCAATCATAGAAAATTGGTCCACCAAGTTTTTTGATAAATCAAATAATTTGACGATGTCACCGTCCTTTTTTTCAAATCCTTACAGAACATGATTTATACTTTGAAGAAAATTACACAAAGGCACACACTCGAAAATTTGAGAAACATTATAAAATAGATGCTATGACGCGAGATCGTGGATTTAGGGTGATTAGACTTCCCCCGTACCATTGTATATTTAACCCCATCCAACTAATCTGGTCGCAAATGAAAAATGATATAAGAAGGAATAATACGGCACCAAAATTTAGTAGTCCAACAATTAACATAATTAGTGAAGAAGCTTCCAAAATAACTGCGGAAACGTGGCCCAATTGTGTACAACATTCCATAAAAGAAGAAGACCAGTACAGGGCACGGTTAACAAAACCGGTAATTATTAATTTAGAAGAGTCGCGTGATGATGACAGTGACTATTTCGATCAATAAATAAGCAGTAGTAGTTAATAAGTAAATAGTTGCTGTAATAAAATATGATTGAGTACAAAGTTACTTTGTTTTTACTTAAAATAAAAAAATCGGAAGACGCAGTTGTCGGTAAATGCAAAACTCAGTCCTGCCCTGGGCTTTTACCAGAAAAGATCTTTTCAGGTAGGTATCGGTGAACGGGTTTAAGACATCCGGCTGAGACGGCCTATTGAATTATAATGGGAGTTAAATTGGTGTGAAGCCATAAACGCCTCAAATCTTTGAGTCCAATCTACCGAGCAATACTTCAACTTTTCAAAAATGTCTGAATCTTGCAGTATGGTTTTGAGGAGAAAAGATCTACGGTTACAATTCTGTCTCGCTTTACTCAAGACGTTTCGAAGTTAATAGACAAAAACAACCAAGTAAGCAAATTTCATTAAAGCTTTTGATCAGATTGATCATTACACATATACACTACTTGGTAAATTAAATCTTCTCGGATTTTTGGATTCTCTACTTCTGCTGCTTGACAGAAAATTGTTAGTTAAATATCGTAACCTTGTTTCCTAACCTTTTCGTCCTATCTCAGGTGTCCCACAAGGGTATGGTTTTGGACCATTTGTATTTTTATTATTGTTCATTTTTTATTAATTAATGACATCCCTAACTTCTGTAACTGTGACTTGCAGCACAACTTGGGCCTGTTAACTTCAATGACAATAAAAAACCACTCATACATTAAGTTCCTTTAAACTGGATAATAACTAACAAAAATGTGGTAACCGAATTAAGTATCTGAAACAAAGTAAATCTTGAAATTCTGAAGAACCGTGCTGCTTGAAACTTGGGCCGATTTTTAGTTGTAAAACGAATAAAATTCCTGAGTTGTTCCTTCATATACAAGTTTTCCTTTTTCAACCTAATAACCAATCTGCAGGTTATTCTAACGATTTTATAAGATTCTGCAGAAATTTGATCGCACGTCAAAATAGCAGCTATGGTACCTATCTAGAACAAAATGATGATTATACTTGATGATATGCATAAACAGTTGAAACTCTTCCTTATGATCAACCAGCGTTACAAAATAATTATCTTGTTTAATTAGAATCTCTAGATAAAAGAGAATTCTGAAAGCTCCACTAAATATATTAAAAAGGATTAACCATCCGCAGAGATCGTTAACAGCATCGCAACACTCTTTTAAGATAAATATTTTTTGTTCTGTTTCAGATAAAGTTTCCTCTAGTGCTCCTGCACATTGTTGTGTATTTTTCTCAAAGTTGATTGCTATCATTTTATATGCTTTTAAGAGAATTTCAAGAAAAGCGTAGATGCAGAATGTAAGAAACAATTGAGCGTTAAGTTCAAAAGTAACGGGAACACTAATAATAAAAAGAAAGTAGCCCCAATTAGAAATCACCATATGACTTAGAGCAATTGTTGAAGTTATATACAAAATTTGTGATAGAACAAGTATCCAAAATGCTTTACATTTTTTTGTGTCATTTTTAATTCTGTTATAATTTTTACTTAATTTCAACCAGACATTATCATTATTTTTTGTTGCAGATAGGAAGATATATAATGTCGATGCTATCATTGTTGCACAGTTTAGAAACACCAGCAGAGTCCTCATAGCACTCAACATCGATATAAATGGAACGAAAGTTACGTAATAATGAGAAACTATTCCAACAATATAAAGCAATATGATTGAATATTGATAAGTTCTCCAAAAATTGTTTATTTCGTCAGTCTTTAATGAAAATGGTGTGAACACTAATAGTTTACCCCAACTATAAACTATTTTGACTATTTTAACATCGCCTGATCTTGACATATCCTGGCGAAGCGATTCTTTATTTAAATAGCTCGAGACATCTATTTGATATGATAGATGAAAATACAATTTTATTTTATGAATACCTCAATCTGAATACTAATGCTTTATTAATGACAATTGTCCAAATTTCATTATACCTTACAGTAAAACGAACAAAAATAAATCTATGATATACCATATTTTAGTAATTTGTTTTACTCCGAAATAGAGTTGCAATTATATGTAATTTTTTTACCTGTATTGTATTGATCTTGGGTAACAAGCTTTAATGTTTAATTTTATTCAGTCATAGCAACCACGATACAAAAAGTTGTTTCCAAAATATTAAATAAAAAAATATAAATAAATTTAATTCGCCAACAGCAACTTCCAAGCGAACCTATTTCTAATTGATTCTTTTAGATCTATTTGAAATATGTCTATCTGACTAGCCTTTTCATTGAAATTTAAATAAAAACTCATAACGCATAATATAATATTATATTCTCTAAGATATGATTATCTGCATGAACAAAATGTCGTTGAGTAAAAAACATAATCTTGATTGCTCCTTGTTTGGCACTAAGTCATAATTTATGATTCAGCTAAACAAAATGTTGACGTCATGCTGGAATAATAAATAGTCTCCAGTATTATTTATTTGACGATACAATTTAATATCATCAGCTAAAATCGAAATCTTAGAATGGCAAATGTACTCTGCGTCATCCCTAATATACAAGAAACAACAGTGGGCCTTATGGTGGCCCTTGAAGTACACCCGACAAAGATTTGTAGCAATCAGACGTGTAACCCTTTATGACAACATAATTCCTACGATCGGCCAAATAGGAATCGATAAGGTCAATTAGTTCGTTCGTAAAAACAAAAGTTGATAACCTGCGCACTAGTAATTGGTGGTTAACTCTATCGAACGCTTTAGCTACGTCTGCGTACACCACATCTAGATGGCTGCTACATGTTGAACTTGTTCGGGTACATCTAGTAGATGGGGTAGGAAGATAAGAAGTTTTTGAATTAAGATTAAAAAGATATTCCAATGACTTTAAGAACACTGCCACAGGTGGAAGGAAGGTTCTTAAAACAAAAGGTAATTGCTGAGTTATGGAAATTAGAACCAACAAGTTTTGGAAAGCCACTAACTATTTCTTCAAGATTGTCTGTCAAGTTATTTTCAAAAGAAAGTTTACTAGGTACAGTGGAATAGCTTTTTTCTCTATAATATAGGACCAGAAATATTTAAGAGGAGCCACGAGAGTGTTTTCCGCATTTTTAATATGTGTACGAAATTCTCCTCTAATTAGCATCTTTACTCGACGACGTCATGCAAAAATTGATTCTGAATTTGTGGTGTTCTTTGGGCTACCTACATTTGAAAAAGCTTTTGCTTTATTTCTATCTGTTCTCTGAGTTCATTTGAATACCAGCTTGGAAAACAGAGCTTCCTACATATCACCACAGGCACATGGAGAACGTATTACCATGAATATTTTTTACAGAAATATTAACAGATAAGGCGGGATGACACAAATCCTCAGCAGCAGTGGGACACGGAACAAAATCAAACAATTCTGTAAGTTACTGAAAACTAGATATAGGAGCCTGTCATCGCAATTACACACAGCATTATGTTTCTTAATACTCGTATCTAAGAATGCGTAATATGATAGATTTCCAGACTTGTACTTCGAATAGGAGGCTGTTTTGAGTTAAATTAAGAAAACATTCGAAAAATTAAGGATACATAGGTACATCGACTAACCATCTAGTGGCCAATGACTCATTGTGTTCTAATTATTTTGACAGATGATATCTTAACCATATTAAAACAAAACTCGGGAAAAAAAGACGTTTTAAATAATCACAAAAACTTACTGAACTCAAAATTGAATTTATATTAAAATCATACAATGCCTTTAACGTAAGTTTAGTTATGTTTAAAGAACCTAGTTATTATACTACTTAATAATAATTAATAATTCTAATTACACACTCGGAGACTCTGCAAGCTCTGCACTCACGAAGACTTTGTTTTCAATGAAAGATCTGTCATATCTGATAATATTTTGGAAGTAATATTTTGTATCGTGGTGACCATGACAACGGAATAAAATTAAAAATTTAAAAAGTTTATTGCCGATGATCAATACAGACTAGATATAAAATTAGACGCAATTGGATTCCTAGTTTTAAAATCAGTCGACAATTTTGTAGTAAAATAAATTACTAAAATCCGCTAAATCACTCCCCTGGCTTTTGTTCACTTTTTGTTCATTTTCCAAAATGGACTTAATATCACTAATAAAACACTAGTGTTCAGATCGACAACAGATTCATAAAATATAACTTTATGTTTTGAGTTTGATAAAGAATCGCTTCGCCTGGATATGTCAACATCAGTCGACGTTAAATTAGTCAAAATAATTTACACATGGGGCAAAATATTCGTGTTCACACCTTTTTCGTTAAAGACTGACGAAGTAAACAATTTTTGGACAAGATGTTATCAATATTCAATAATCTTGCTGTACATTGGTGGAAATTTTTTTTCTTGCTACATAAATTTTGTTCCAATTATTTCGATATTTAATGCTTTGAGGTGTCTACTAATCTTTCTAAACAGTGCAACAATGATGGCAGCGACATTATATATCTTCATATCTGCAATAAAAAATAAAGATAATGTGTGGTTGAAATTAAGTAAAAATTATGACAGAATTAAAAATGACACAACAAGAAGTACAATCTTTTGGATATTTATTTTAGCACAAGTTCTATATATAACATTAACAGTTGCTATTAACCATATTCTAATTTCTACTTGGGGCTACTTTCTTTTTTTTATTAGTGTTCCCGGCATTGTCGAACTTCATGCTCAATTATTTCTTACATTTTGCGTCTACGCTTTTCTTGAAATTATTTTAAAACAACATAAAATGGTAACACTCGACTTTGAGAAAAATACGCAACAAAGTGCAAGAGGACTAGAGAAAACTTTATCTGAAACAGAACAAAAAATATTTATACTAAAAGAGTGCTGCGATACTGTTAATGACCTCTGCGGATGGTTATTCCTTTTTAATATATTTAGTGGAGCTTTCAAAATTCTTCTTTACATAGAGATTCTAGTTAAACAAGAGAATTATTTTGCACTGCTGGCAGCGAATAAGAAACAGTTACAAATATTTATGTATCAGAGCTTTACAATAGTATTATTATGGGTAGAAGTACTATTTATTCGATTTTTACAGTATAATGAGTATTTTGTTCCAGATAGGTACGATAGGTTCTATTTTGACGTGCGATGACATTTCTACAGAATATTATAAAATCGTCAGGATATCTTGCAAATTAGTAATTATATTGAAAAAGCAAAGGTTGTATAAAGCTAAACAACTTAGAAAGTTTATTCATTTTACAGCTCAAAATCGACCCAACTTTGAAGCAGCACGTTTCTTTAGACTTTCAAGATTGACTTTGTTCCAGATACTTAGCTCGTCTACCACATATTTATTAGTTATTATTCAGTTGAAAGAAATTTAGTCCGTCGTAAATATTGTGCACATTTAATATTATTAATGTATTAATTCAAAATAGATCTAGATATTCCAATAATTACGTCAATAAATGGATTTAGAAGAAAAATAAGTCCGTTAGATGAATAAAAAAATGTATGTTGTTTACTAAGCATATAGTCATAATGCATATGCAGTCATGAAAGCAATTCACTCTTTTTTTAGTTTAGTTTGTCATAAATTCATATTTTTGACATTCCTAATTTGTACCATGATTATGATGGAATCAACATAAAATTAATAAAAAAATGTACTTTCCGATGATCAATAGAGTGCAAAATAAATATAAGTTATATGTAAGTTACACACAATCTTCAAGCAATCAAGATTAACACAATAAAATTTCTAAACTACATGTAGTGTGTAATTTAAACAAATCCTAATCATAAAGCTAGTAACTCCCGACCAGTTCTCTCAAGTTATTGCAGTCGTATTTAAATAATCGTTCTAATTATGTTTCGTATAATGGTTTTAAGTCCAAGACTTTTATTTCCACTTCTGGAGTCCTCCAAGGGTCTAATTTGGATTCCTTGCTTTTTCCTATATTTATGATCTATTAGAGCTTCTTAATTGTAAAGTACTGGCATATGCAGACGATATTGTCATGAAGACAAATATTTTATAATTCTTAGTTTGCGAAATCATGACGCCCCGCTTCCTCTCGAATCAATGGTGGTATTTGGAGACGGGAGAGCATTATCCTGCTAGAACGGAAATGTGATTGAACTAGGACAAGTGGGGAAAATTGCTGTTCTAGCGGGATGATGGTTTTCTGGCTCCAACGAGAACCCGAAACGATGTAAGTACCATTTAAATTTATATATCAAACTGCTAAAGATTTCACTGACCCCATCTTAATGAAAACATAAAATTTGG